CAGGCTAGCATGTGGTCAGGGCCTGGCTCCAGGGCTGAGACCAGAGGAGAGAAGCAGCTCCACAGGGCCCCGAACAGAGCTGATGGCAGCACCCAGCATGGGCCCCAGAGAGCCCGTAACCCAATGGTGTGGCTTCGGTGCATTTGGCCCACTACCAGACTCTGGGTTTGGTGAGTGCGAGGGCGAGGCGGGGGGTGGCAAGTGTCCCTCAAGAATTAAACTTGATTTGCACTGAAGTCACACCTAGCTTATGATCCAGAACTAGCCCCCTGAACAGGGACAGGAAGCGAGCCTGGAGACACTGAGAGTCAATGAGAGGGGACGGTCACCAGCCGTGAAGCAGGCTTTGGGGATGCAGCAGAATGTGAGCGAGGCGGCAGGTACACACGCCCCTCCTGCGCAGTCATGTTGTCCCCTTCATGTGTGCGATCCTGCTGACCCTGCGTGAGAGACCCTAGAGCAGGGGACTGGCCCTGGGGGAGGGATGAAGGAGGTGCAGAAGGAGTGAGCATGACCCAGCCTGCAGCTCCCCTGAGGGTGCCCTAGGCCACACTGCTGCCCAAGCCAGGTCATGGTCAGAAAGTCTGACAGCCCTGACCCTCACCTAGCCAGCCAAAGGGTCCTGTCCAGGGCTTGCCAGGCCCTCCCCTCCTGAGGCCTTGACTTCCTGTCTGCTAAGTGAGAAGCTGGGCTGAGGTCCAGGAATCCTGGAGGGGTGCTTGAGGGGGTTTGAAGATGGGGAAGGCCCGGCGGAAAGGGTTATGAGATCTTCTGGAAAGGGTTATGAGATCTTCCACGTGGCTTCTCCCTGAAGCCCCCACAGACTTCTCAAGACCCTCCCAATCATCAGGGAAGAGACCACCCAGCCAGGGCCTAGAGAACAAAGAGGGAGGTTGGGGCTTGGGGCCTGTGAGAAGGGGTGAGGGCTGATTTCCACAACACAGAAGGAAGTCGTCCTCCTGATTGGCAAACCAGGGTGTGGCAAGGCCCCAGACTCTTCAGGGGAACATTCTGGGGTTGCCCCAAAAGGGGGCGTGTTTCCAGCTGCTGGAGACACCCCAAATAACAGCTCTTGACCTCCACCCGCTCCAATAAGCCTCCCTCTCTGCCCCTGCTGCCCTTCCACTCCCCCCCTCTCCTGCAACCTGGGCCTGGCAGGCAGCTGGCTGCAGGGAGGCCGAAGCTGGAGGCTACGATGTGGGTTCCAGAGCCACCAGAACTGGGTGGGGGACACCTGCTTTGAAGTCCAGAAGGGCTGCAGGGCTCCACGCACACAGTAGCTTCTGGCTACAACCCAGTGCCCACCGCTGCTGGGAGGGTGTGCTGCTGGGGGTCCGCAGAGTAGAGGCCCCAATCTGTCCTGGATGAGAGTGGGACAGGCTCCATTCCAGTGGAGGAGGCCAGAGAGAGGGACACTGCAGAGGCTGGACCTACCGGGCCACCGCCAGCTCCCCTGGCGGCCCTGGACCTACCGGCCCCCACCGCCTCCAAACGGCTGGAGAGGTGGAGACAGGGTGGACCACCTCGGGTCCCGGAAAGGTGGACAGGCCTTGCTCCGGGACGGGAGAGAGGCTTCCTTTAGGCCAGGGGAGGTGGCGGACAGGCCCTGCTCCAGGACGTAGAAGGCCGAGGCCGCCCCAGATTGGACGACACCGTGGGGCTGGCCTTCCGCCAGGGCCGGCCTGCGAGAACCAGTCGGGGGCGGGGCCTCGCGGAGGCGAGAGGCGGGGGGTGGGGGGGCACGGTCTTGCTCAAGCCGGTCAGGGCCGGGCTGGGGGACGGGGCCTGGTGGGGGGGGGGGAGGGGGGGAGGGGAGGGGGGCGGAATCCAAGCGGGCGCGTCCGCGCGTGCGCACCCCGCGTGCGCTTCGGTCGCGGAGCGGCCTGCGGCGGTCTCTTCTGCAAATGGGCTCCGTGGTCTAGCGTCCCCGTCCCCGTCCCCGCCACCTGTGATCGCGCGCCGAGGCCCGCGAGGGGTCGTCGCCGAGGTGAGGACCCGGGCGGCGCGGGAGTCGAGTCGAGGGGCCCGAGGGGGCTCGCCGCGGCTGGGGGGACCGACCGACTGGCGGACGGAAGGCCGGACGGCCGGGGCGCGGGGTGGGAGCGGGCCGGGCGGGCCGGCCCGGCGGGCTCCCGGAGCCCCAGGTCCGCGGCCCGGCGCACAAAGGCCTTTGTCGCGCCCGCGCCGCCGGTTCGGGCCGGTTGGCGCCGCCCGCGACCTGCGAGACCGCCCCGGCCGGCCGGGACTCCGCCCCCCCCGGGTAAATGAACCCGGCGGCCCTGACCCCGGCGTCTGGATGGGGGCGGGACAGCCCGAGTGGGGAACGCCCTTCCCGAGCGGCGTTGGTGACCCGAGGGGCACCCCGGCCCCGGCGTGCGCAGGTCTCCGCCAGCCCGCAAGCGACGGCATGGCAGCCATCCCCTCCAGCGGCTCGCTCGTGGCCACCCACGACTATTACCGGCGTGAGTAAGCCCCTCGGCCCTGCCCTGCAGGTCTTCTCCGGGAGGGGGGAGGGCTGCCAAGGACCCGTGGCTCTGCCTAGCCGGCGCTTGGCCCGGTGGACAGGGCAGGACGCTCGGTGCCCTGCGGAGCTGACCAGGCCTCTCTTCTCCAGGCCGCCTGGGCTCCACTTCCAGTAACAGCTCCTGCGGAAGTGCGGAGTATGGCGGGGAAGCCATCCCTCACCACCCGGGTGAGTGCAGGTCCACTCCCCTTTGGTGCGGGGCACCATCGGGGCATCCCCCCAGGGGCGGGCAGCAGCACCACGACCCCACTTTGTTCCTCTCAGGTCTCCCCAAGGCCGACCCGGGTCACTGGTGGGCAAGCTTCTTCTTCGGGAAGTCCACTCTCCCGTTCATGGCTACAGTGTTGGAGTCCCCAGAACGGTGAGGACACATTCCTGGGGGCCAGCACGGGAAATGGGGGCAGGTGGAAGCCACCTCTGACCACAAGCTCTCCCCCAGCTCGGAAGCTCCCCAGGCCTCCCCGGGCACCATCACCTGCGACTTGGCTCTGGAAGCCATGAGGAAGCAGCCTGGTGGCCAGCCTGGCAAAACCAACACCGAGCCGCCATCCTGAGTGGCCACCGCAAGGCTTCAGGAGGCGCTAGGCTCTTCAGAGCCCCTCCCTCCCCTTCCCTCCCCTCCCCATAGACTAGGCAGGCTGCCGCAAGCAGAAGCAATTGGGTTCTTTTATATCAAAATAGCAAAACACCCAAAAGGAAGTTGAGAGGATCCTACTCTTTACTCTCCAAGCCACATGCAAGCCTTCCTCACACCCTGGAACCATGTGCCTTGCACCAAGTGGAAAATAAACTCCAAGCAGCCAGTAGCCCCAATGGTGTACGTGAGCTGTGTGCCCCCCGGGCCTGCATGCCCCCGGGCCTGTGGTCAAAGTCACCAAATCCTTCTCAACCTCATTTCCTGGCGGGGGTGGGGAGTTGACCTTGCCCCCTGGGCCTTCCTGGGGCCCCTCACTGGGGAGCCACCTCTCAGAGGTCTGGCCCAGGTTCACGCGGGCAGCAACCTCAGGGAGTATATGGGGCCTTGGCACCTGAGAAGGGGTGGGGTGCCTTGCCGTTTTGGGAGCCTGGGAGAGCAAGCAGTTCTGGAGTTGGACAAGAAGCCTCCTGGGCAGCCACTGAGGTTTGAGTCCTCAGACTTGGCCCCTGGCCGCTGGGGAAAGCTGGGCCTCTGCCTGTGGGTTCAGGAGTCGCCCCCCGCCCCGGCCGCCCGTTTGACCACACCAGGGAGGGCAGGGAGGGAAGAGGACCAAGGCTGTCCCAGCTTGTGTGGAGCAGTTCCCTGGGCCACGCTGTCTCCAGGTGCCTTCCTAGAACCACGCTGCCTCTTGTAGCCCATTGTAGGACACATTCTGGGCACAGGGACCCAAAATTAACGCTGAGTGGTAAGGGGTATGGGGGCGTTCCAGAGGGGCCTTCCCACCCCAGGTAACCCGGCTTTGGACACATCCAACCAGGGACCTGGGGAGGGTGTGGCTGTGCCACCCTTTACCGGGCTCCTGGGGCAGGCATAACGGGGGGCTGGTAGTGCCCACACTCTCTTACCGCTCAGCAGGGGTTGACCCAGGTCCGCTGGTCAGGAGGGCAGCTTAGTGAGGGGTGGACGGGGGCTTAGTGTGAGGTTAGGGGGGCCCGGTCCCGGCTCCTGCCCTTCCCTCCGTGGTGGGCTGTAAATAGCTGCACACGTCCAATCCAAGGCTTCACGAGCCTGTGGCCCCCGAGGGTTGCAGCCATCGTCCTGTGCGCCCCGGTTGTGTCCAGGCAGAAGGCTCTTCCCACCTCCAGAGGGACCCAGAGTGGGGGGAGGTGCCCCAGAGGATAGCCTGAGCACTACCCAGCCTACCCAGTGTCCAGATGAGTCCCCCAGGGCTCCTGTGGGCAGCTGCTGATGCCGTGGCAGGAAGACAGGGATAGTCCCTCGCCCCCGGTAGGAGAGAGCAGGGCCCTACCAGCAAACAGCCCATCTTCACGGAGTCCTAGGAAGTCCATGTTCCCCCCAAGTCAGGAGACAGGCACGGGCCAGGTGGCATAGGGTGAGCCCAGCCAAAGCCCGGGTCCCTCCCCTGCCCCACCTGGGGAAGCTGAGCCCTGGTCCTGACTGAGTTGGGGGCTTTGGGTCAGGACCAGCAGCAGGGATCTCCCTTTAGAAGGGGGGTGGCCAGGCTCCTGGAGGGTTCCAGAGTTGGAGTTGGCTGTGGTGGGCCCTGGCACTTGGCAGGAGCTGGTGTCTTAGAAGGGGCAGACGGGAGGACGGGTAGGCCCCACCCCCAGGCTGCAGAGGGCACGCTTCCCCTGCCCCAGGACAGGGCCGGCCCACGGCTGGACGAGCGCTATCCCCCAGGTGTCCCCAGCCTGGTTCTGGGAGCTGTCCGCACTTTCAGTCTGCCCGTCCTGATGGGACGTCCAGGACGGCACCCAGGCCCGTCTTCACAGGACCTGGCCTGGTGGCCTCCGTGGCCGCAGCGAGAGGGTGTCACACTCAGAGCGGGTTCTCGTACCTGCTGATACTGGAGAGCTTCTCCCGCAGGGCTTTGAAGCAGGGCCTGTGCTTGGGGTCCCTGTACCAGCACGAGAGCATCAGCCTGTGTGCGGCGGGCGGGCACTCCGGGGGGCAGGGCATGCGGTAGCCTGAGTTCACCCTCAGGAAGGCCTCGTGGTTGGACGTGCCTGTGGTGGGGCGGCCAGAGGAGCTGCAGGGGCTGGAAGCTGGTGCCCACCTAGCCTCCCCTTGCCCCTAGGAAGCCACACTGCCATCTGCTGCCCTCCCAGGAAGCCCTGGGCCGAGCTCCTGCCTGCCTCACCCCTGCACACGCTCCTGACGCCCCTGGAGGGCTGCCCCTGGGAGGCCGGCTGGGGCAAGTCCCAAGTCCAGGTGATGGCACCCTCCTGCCCCGCCCGCCACTGGGGACGCTGTCGGGGGCCCGGTACCTGGATAGGGCACCTGACCCCTGCTGAAAATCTCATGGAGAAGAATCCCAAAGGACCAGACATCAGATTTGATGGAGTAAAGCCCTCGGGAGAGGGCCTCGGGGGCGGTCTGCTTGTAGGGGATGTTGTGGTCGTGGGAAAGGTAGACGTCCTCCTGCAAGCGGACACGTGCGGGTGGGCCTCGGCGGCTGCCCTCACCCCTCCCACCCCAGCCGCACGGACAGGGCCTGGGGTTCTCGTGGGCCAGTGCAGCGGGCACTGATGACCGCCGCTAGAGGGAGGTGCAGCTTTCCCTCCGATTCGGGGCGGGGCGGGGGCAGGTGGGCCGAGCTGGCAGGTCAGGGCCAGGGTAAGCGAGGCCCCCGCCCTGGTGGTGTCAGAATCGCGCAGGTGGGCCGGCGTGAGCACGCGCACGGTGTGGCTGCTGCGGAGCAGCCTGCAGGTCTGCTCACGCCACAGGCTCGCAGAGCTGCCCAGCTCCCCCGGACATGCTTGGAAGGGCTGGAAGAGTCACGCTTGGCCTGCCCCGCAGCTGGCCCGAGTGGATGAGGGAAACGCCTCTCGAGAAATATCCAGCTTATGATGAGGAAGGAACTGCAGCATCAGGACAGCCGCCCGGAGGCGAAGCGCCCTGGATGCAGCGCCCAGTGCCCCATGCACCCGAGCGGAGGGTGCGGGCCCCAGAGGGTGAGAACAGCCGGAAGAAGCAGTCAAGTCATTGTGGCCCGGGTCCGCTCCAGGAGCAGACCAGTGACATCATGGTTTTCAAGAACTTGGAAACAACTCTGGGGGGCACGTGATGACTGTAAGGCATCCCCGTTAAGTGTCGAAAGCGTGATTGTGGCTGTTTTTATTTGGGGTCCTTGTATAGAGATCCTGAAGTGGGCGCATGGGGACTCGGGTCTAACTGCATGGAAGAAGGCTGGGGGGCTTGTAGGGGCCGATGGGGGCAAGGGGCTCAGGACACCATTCCATCCACTCTGTCTCCTGTGTGGGGGGCGGCTGGGGGGGATGTTTGCCCTGAGCTCAGGAAACGCCCCCGGCCTCTGCCCTCACTGCATACCCAAGGCAAGCTGCCATGAATGAGTGAGCACAGGGCGCTCTCCTCCCCCCGCCCCGGCCCCCATGCAGCCTCCCTTTCCTCCCGCAGCCCCTGCAAGTGCTGACCACCCCCCCTTCCAGCCTCAGAGCCCTCTGGGAAGCCTCTGCCCCCCATCGGGGTACGGCTCCACAGCCCTGCATCTTGCCCTCCAGCTTCCTGTCCCTGCTCAACTGGTCTCCCCGAGGGCGAGGGCAAGGGGAAGGGCAAGGCCGAGGGCGCGCAAGCCCCCCAGGACCCCCCGCCCCAGGTGCAGAGGATGCCCTGCTCCTCCCTCATGCCCTGGGCCCTACCTTGATGAGCCTGGCTAGCCCAAAGTCCCCCACTTTGCAGATGTTGTTGGCCCCCACGAGGATGTTCCTGGCAGCCAGGTCCCGGTGGATGTAATTCTGTGACTGCAGGTAGCACATGCCCTCAGCCACCTGTGATGCGAAGTCTACCAGCTCCGAGATGGGCAGGGATGTCTCGTCGGAGTCTGCGGGGCCGGGGAGCCGCGGCCAGAGGAGCTCTGCGTCCCGCCGGGCTCAGGGACAGGGCTGGGGCAGCCGCCTGACTCGCATTGGCCCAGTGGGCCCGCCACGGCCCTTCTGGGAGGCGGTCACGGGTTAGAGCCGAAGTGCAGCTCATACGCACCTTTGCCCCCCTCTGCACTAAAGCGAGAGGAACATCTACACAGTCGAAAACCTCAGGTTCAACACCAGGTAACTGGCTGAACAGGCACAGCTTGTGGACGTGGTCCGCGCTGGTGCGCTGTCCGGAAGAACCTCTGATGAGGGGACCTGGCCGCAGTGATCAGACTCGCCGTGAAAGAGGCTGTGTTCGGTGTTCCAATGTCGCCATGTAAAAATCTGCCCGGCACACGTACCCTGGATGTCGTGTTCCTGCAGCACCCACTCGGCGCCACTTGAGCCCCTGTGACATGGGGCTGCGTCCGCGCCACGGCACCTCGGCCAGCTAGCCCTGATTGTGCTTGGTTTGGGTGTTACATGAAATGCTAGGCCCTGGGACAGGTGATGGGGTCTGTGAGTCCGCGAGACCCATCGTGTGTGTTTAGTGTGCGTGTAGGAGGGGGTGTGCACGCAGGTGGAAGTGTTCATGCACATCCAGACACCGCAAGAAGGGCCAGCGCCTTCCAGAGAGAGAAGCAGAGCCAGGCCTGCATGTTCCGGAAGCTGGGGGGTGGGTGGGCCTCACCTGGCATTGGAATAAAATGGCCTTGGTTAACTGTGCATGTAGGCATTATAGCCCTTCTCGTCTTATTTGTACTTCTCTGTGTTTTCTCCAGTCCTACAATGAATAGATGGGACATTTACCACAAGATGTTTTAAATCCTTTCTCAAGCAGGGCCCGGCCGACAAAGGCATCAAAGCTCCCTGGTGGCCTGTGCCTGGTACGGGGGCGACGTGGGTTTTCTCTTTCTTCGTGCAAGTTTCCCACGCCCTCCCGCAAGCACGGGTCACTTGGATCCCTGGGCAAGGAACCCCGAGTGCGGCCCCCAGGCCGGCTCACCCCACAGCAGCTCCAGCAGGCTCCCCTTGGGCATGAGCTCTGTGACGATGTACGCGGGGTGCCCCATGGATGCCACGGCGTGCAGCCCCAGGACATGCTTGTGTTGCAGCTTCTTCATGGCCTGGATCTCCGACTGGAACGTGTGCTGGTGCAGGAGGTCATCTGCGGGGGGCAGGCAGCTTCGGTGGGTGCGGCCCCAGTCCCGGCTTCCCCACCCACCTGCACGCAGCAGCTGCTCAGGATGTGCGGGCACCCTCCCCCGGGATGCCACGGCACCAGGGCCACGGGCCACAGGAAGGGGACGCTGTGCCCACCACCTGCTCTTGCCCCACACCAAGCATCACGATTGCCAACGCCTGCCCAAGCCCGAAGCGAAGCAGAACATCTCCCAAGTGTGTTCCCGTGAGCCCCCGATTCCTGGAGTGGGGCGTCCAAACCCCTAGTGGGTTTATAGGAAATTTTAGATAAATCTTTAAAAATTTCTAGTGATCTATTTATTTTAATGGATTTCCATTTACATTAAGGATTTAAAATTCCCTTCTTAAATAAATGCATTTAGCTGAAAACATAGACATCGAAAGGAAAATGCCCTCTGAATGCTGTTGTAGACGCCGCACGCTGCACACTGAGCCAGCGTGTAGCTCACGGGACCACCACCCCACGAGCGAGGCCAGGAGTCCCTGTTGGGTCCCTGGCCCGGGCCCCACTCACCTCGAGCAATCACCCTAACAGCCACTCGGATGCAGTCTTTCCAGAGGCCTTTGAAGACCTCCCCAAAGTACCCAGACCCCAGCTTCCTGCAGAGCGTGAACTCCTCCTGCGGTGTCTCCCAGTCTTCACAGTGGGGCAGGGGCTTGGGCTTGTGCTGGAGAGACAGGCAGGGGCACAGGGCAGGGGTGCTGTCCCCATCCCCTAGCCCACCCTTCAGGAACTGCCCACTCCGACCCCAGGACGGGGAGCCCCTACTCTATTCTCAAATGTAGGGCAATGTTTTTTTGGTGAGGTCCCAGGGTCCAGCATGTGGCCAGGCTTTCCCAGGAGCTGCCCCCACCATGGGTGCTCTCTGCAGTATCCTGCAAACACCCTCACAGCCCGCTGCAGGGTTTTGGCTACGTGAGGCTCGGTGACGCTGGGGATGCTATGATGTTGGCTGAGTGCCACTCGGACAAAACTTTGGGCCAGAGGGACGCAGGACATGGTAGGAGCATAGCTGACCTCTCCCTGGCCCAGGGGCGAGAGCGACCTGGCAAAGGCGGGCACATCCCACCCCACCTGCCTGCTCCTACGCCCAGCTCTGTAGGACCACAGCGTCCAGGACAGCAAGAGTCCCTGGGGCCAGGTGTCCCCGAGGCCCCGCCAGCCAGTGAGCACATCAGGACCCACACCCACCCTGTGGAGGAGAGGGGGCCACAGGTGGGCAGAGGACGAGCAGGGGCAGCAGGGCGCAGGCGGCCCTACCTTCCAGCAGGGCACGGTCAGCCGCAGGCCGTGGGACAGGCTCTGGGCTTTGTGGTGCTCCAGGAGCTCGGCCAGGCCAGGGAAGGACGCAGCCTCGCTGAGGTGCAGCCGGCCATGCGCCACCAGATCCTGTAATGCCTCAAGGCCAGCCTGTCCCCGCACTGCAGGGGGGTGGGGGGAGAGCCCAGTGGACGCGGGCATGCAGTCCCGGCCCCTGCCCTCAGAGGGGCGCTCGCGGGCCAGGCATCCCGCCCCGCGGCGTATCTCCTAGCGAAGTAAGAAAACCCAGACCCGGCAGGCCCCAGGGACAAGCCGCCCACTGGAGGGAAGGCTGGGCTGGGTTGCGGCAGACGGACGGAAGGGGACGGGCCGGGGGGATGGGCCAGGGGCAAGGAGCCCTGAGGCCAAGTGTGGGTGGGGCCACAGACTGGGGAGAAGGTGTGGGAGGCCATACCTGAGAGAACATAGTCAGCGCCCGGCTTCTCACTGACCCTGACCAGGAAGGCCCCTGACTTGATGCCCTCGGCCTGCAGCCGATGCAGGGCTTCCGAGCGCGAGATGCACCCAAAGAACCACCAGAGGGGCGGGGGCGGTCCTGAGCCTGCACCGACCTTCAACCCATGCCCTCTGACCCCATGTCCTCCCACCTGCCCGCCCTGAATCCCAGCCCCCTCACCTGACCCCAGCTGCTCTCCGATACTGTCCCTGGCCAGAGGCCACTTCGTTGCCCATCAGAGACCCCAAATGTCCCAAATGGCCAGTCTGGACACCAGGAAAGGCCTTAGTGACCCAAAGAGGTGCAGGCCCCTGCCACCACCCTGCCCAGGGTGTCCCCTGTCCATAGAGTCGGAGCCACTCCTGTCCCAGAGACACCACTTATCCCGAGTGGGACCACATTGTTCTGTGACCGGGCCACAGATGCTCTGCTCTAGGACCGGGGGACCTGCGGTTCGGCAGGCTCTGCACGCGCGTGCTCACACACAGACCCACACACACGTGCTCACGCACACCAGTGCCAGGGCATGGCCAAGCCCGGACTGCAGGGTGGGGCTGCAGATCCCCCGCTGACTTCCGCTGCCAGCTGCCCTGCCCTTGGTCACTATTCCTTCAGGCGTCACTGGAACAGAAGCCCCCCCACCACACGGAGCCCCGTGAGGGTCACGCCCCACCCTGACCGATTTAGCACATCTTGAATCTCATTTGCTCACCACTCCAAGCACCCTGCCTCCTTCCTGCTTTTCAAATGCACTAGGTTCTCGGGACCTCAGGGCCTTTGCACCCGCCGTGCCCAGCTCTGCACTTCCCTGTCCTTGGACCGTGCTGTCTATGAATGCACTGCGTGTCTCCCTGCACACATTCACCATGCTACTCCTCCCGCGTTCAGGATCGCCGGACTACAGGCGGGCAGCGGAGTCTCTCCTGCTGGACCCTCCCGGCCCAGAGCTCAGAGGAGTGAGCTCAGGTGGCCTGCACACGCCCATGCCAGGCTGCCCCTTGTGGTCCAAGCTTCCTGGGCAGCTCCTTGGGACCAACCACCACCTCCAGGATCCTCTTTACCAGTGACGGGGCAGCCTGCAGCCCACGCCCAGATGGGCATGTCGCAATGACCTTCCTTCTCCCTCTACTAGGTCACGCATCTGGTTTTGACTGTTTGGAAGGTGAGTGAAGCTTTGCTCCCCAAAAGGCCCAGTCCCAGCCTCAGATTCCTACGCAGCTGGCCACCCAGAAGCCCACTGTGGACCCTTCTGTCCTCTCTGGGTCCTGGCACCACAAAGTGACCATGGGGGAGTCCAGGGGAGGAGCCATGTACCCACAGATGTCCCACCGCGAAAGCCTAGTCAGCTCTCCTGGGACGAGGGTGGTGGGGTTCAGCCCCAACTAGGGGGCACCGGGAGGCAGAGTCACGTGTCCCCTATCCTCATTGGCCTCCAGGAAGCTGGCCCAGCATCCCGCCCCTTCCCAGAGCCCAGCCACAGAGCTCTGTCCCGAGGACTGCCCTGCCCTGAGCCCTTGAGGGGCCTCAGGGCGCAGGGAGTGGGGGCACCTTGGGGTGACCCATGAGGGCCATAGGGATACTACCAACTACCAGGTAGTTGTGGGGCACGTAGCCCTCGACCAGAGCCCTGCCCGCCGCATCCAGCAATGTGGCCCACCACCGCTCCTCCTCCTTCCTGGCCACGTGGAACAGATCCCCGCCCAGAAGCTCAGCAACTCATCCGTCCGGACCTCGAAGTCCCAGAGGCCCATGTACTGGGGGCCCGGGTGAGCCTGGCCCTGGGATACCATGGCGGGTGCAGTGGCAGGACTGGCCTCCCGGCCTCACCACCTGTCACTAGGCAGGCTGCAGCACCACCCTGGCTGGGAGCGGTGGGTGGGTGGGGCCACCCCGACAGACCATCTCCAGCCAGCCGAGGAGCTGGCCCACTTCCCCGTGATGAGGCGGCCAAGCCAGGCCAGCCACACCTGCACCCACCAGGGTGGCCTCTCCCTGAGCTGCCCAAACACCCAGGGCTCCACCCTGACGGCCCAGCAGCTCCCACCTGCCCTCCTAGCCACTGAGGCCAGGTCAGCCTGGGTACCGCTCTTGCCCACCTGCTCCGGGATGTGTGCCCACCACGTGGACGAGGGTAGGACTGAGTAACTGGTCAGACAGGGCCTTCCTGGGGTCCAGTTTAGCGGTGGGGGCTCAGGTGTGAGTGGAACCCAGGTGCGAGGGGGAGAGGAGGGACGGAGGCCTGTGGGTAAGTCACCCCTGCCCACCCCGCGGGGGCCTCGGGGACGGAGCTGGGCCAGGGGGACAGTGAGCTCTCACAGGGTTGCTGCTGGAGGCCCAGGTGGCCGCTGCCTTCCCCTCCCTACCCTGGAGGCTCTCAGCCACGCTCCGCTCCCCACCGCCAACCTCTGCGGGGAGCTGCGGGGAGCTGCGGGGAGCTGGGGTGACTGCAGCCGTCCTAGACGCTGACCTCCAAGGGACAGGAAAAGGTGGGCAGGTGCTAGAAAGAGGGAGCCCACATGGAGGCCGTGGGGTGGGGGACAGGAGGGGCCGCAGCAGAGAAGGAAGAGCCCTAAGGGGAGGTGGGGACCAGGGAGTGAAGGGGGCTCAGGCTGAGTGCCATCCGCCCTCGGCCACCACGTCTGAGAGGGTGCGGGGACTCTGCCCCATGACGGGAGCTCCAGGAGGACAACGACCGGGGGGGTCGTGTACTAAGCCTGATGTATTGGCACGACTCCCCCCATGAGGAGCGTGTATTACTCCGTAAGTTCACAGCCATTCTGGCAGCCCCGTTCAGTGCTGCCCAGGGTGGGGAAGGGGCCAGGGAGCTGAGCAGAGGGCAGGGCTGGGCCGGGGGGCCCGGGGCTCCAAGGCGTCCCTGCTGCGTGTCTGGCCCTCACTGTGGGAAAGCACGCTCCCGGCGCCCCCGCCCTCGGGCCCGGCCATGAGCTCACGCCCAGGGGCCTTGGGGTGTCTCCCGGGCAGACACCCAGGCTTTTGCCCAGCAACACCAGGAAGCAGGACAGCACTGAGACGGAAAGTCCCCCGCCCTCCTGGAGGCTCCAGAGCAGCAAACCCGCTCGGCCTGTGGCTGACGAGACACGCTAGGAATGCACCAGTGACCCCCACGCGCACCCGCCTCTGGTCCCAAGCCCAGCACACCCCTTCCCTCAGCGCCGGCTGCCCAGCCCCGCACCACACTGACCTGCCGCTGTCAGGAGGTGTCCAGTTCCGTCTCTCACCAGGAGGCCCCTCAGCCCTCCCAGGGCAGGACGGAGGCATCCAGGCTGCAGGCCAAGCCCTCCTGCTCCCACCAGCCCCCCGGGTGGGGGCTGGCCCAAGCCTGGCACCCAAGGCTCCAAGGGGCCCCTGCCCTCTCCCAGCTCAGCCCTGCCCCACACCCAGGCCGATCTGGGGGGCTCGAGCCTACCTCCTCCCTCTGTGCTGCCCTCGCCCGTGGTGACCTCAGCACCCTCTCCTCCAGGAAGCCCCCCACCACTCCAGCCCTGCACAGCCTCTGTGCCGAGTGTGGGCTCTCGGGTCCCCCCTGCACCAGCCCGTGGGCAGGGCCTGTGGTCCGTGGGGAGGAGCTAACGGGCCTCAGCAGGTGCGGAGCTGACCCTAAACTGTGCATAGAGGACTGTTCCCTCCAAGGGACGAGGAACAGAGGGCAGCTTTGCATGCCTCTGCCCCTCCGTCCCACAAGCCTTCTGGGGTCACAGGAGGCTGGGGGATGAGGACCCTGAACACAGACCACACCCGCCTGGTCCCTTGCCCCTCCGGTCCATCTCGTGGCGACTGGAGCTGCTGGGGTGAGTGAGAACCAGCTTGTCCCACCCAGCTCCTCATTCAGTGATGCCAACAGCGGCTTGAAGTCAGCCCTGGAGGGAGCAGGCTGCTTCCTTCTCCCCAGGGAGCTGGTTGTGACCCAGCTGCCCGAACACCGTGGCAGCCGGCCCCACCCCTGCCTGACCCTGCACAGCCAGCACACAGGACCCTGAACCACTGAGACAGACTCTGCCTCCCTGACCTTTGCCCCACCCCAGAGAAGGACCCTGACCATCTCCCACCCCCAGGAACGGCCACGCAGCCTGACCTGCCCGTGGCCCCACCCAGCCCTCCGCTCCCTCACTTCAGTTGCTGCCCCAGGGACACGGAGTGGGCTGTTCACCCCTGCAGCCTGCAGAGGTCATGCTTCCTGTGGGAACAGGGTCCCCTGGGGCGGGGGCCCGGGCCACGGGGGCCAACTCTGCCTCAATGAGCCCGCTGGTGGGCCACCCCGTCAGCTCCAGCTCCGGTTCCGGGTCTGCAGGCCGCGGCCCATGTGCGACACGTGTCTGGGCATGTGTCTAAACCAGTCACTGCGTGTTTATTCAGCACACGGGTCTGTACACAGGCAGCCCGTGTGCCCAGCCCGCGCTGCTTCGGCCCCGTGCCCGGGGTCTGCGTTCCCAGCATCGGCCACGGGGGACTTGGCAGAAAACCGGGGAGCCCTGTCTCTGGCTGCTGCCCGGGGCCACAGGTGTGGGCAGGGGGCCGTGGACCAGGCTCAGGGCTTCTCTGTCCAGCAAATCCCCGAGGCCAGAATCCATACAGGTCCCACCCCGACTGCTATGCCGAGATCTTACCCGGCCAGGGACACCTGCCCCTCCTGAGTGGGTGTCTGCGTGTGTCTGTCTTCCGCGCACACGTGTGTGCTGGTCAGCACGTGTGTCAGGGTGCGAGGCCCACAACCAGAGGCCGTTCCAGGCCGCTGGCACCCCTGCATGGGTCGACAGCCAGCCTCATCCTGGGGGGACACGCCGGGCAGGGGGGAGCGGCCCCAGCCCCTGTGTCCAGTGCCCCAGGTCACGTGTGGGCAGGGGCGAGGCGCCTATGGGCCGCATTCAGCTTCTTCTGCAGCGTCGCGAAGGCCGGCCGCTCCTCGGGGCTGCCCTTCCAGCACTCCAACATGAGCGTGTAGACCTCCGCCGGGCAGGAGGCTGGGCGCGGCAGCCGGTACCCTCGCGTGACCTGCTGCAGGGTCTCGTGGTTGCTCAGTCCTGCAGAGGGGCAATGAGAGGGGCTGGGCAGGGCAGCCTCGCTTCTGCGTGGAGGTCACGGTAGACACCTCCCCCCAGCTCCTGGCCGGACCCTGCCCAGCAGGTGGCCCGGAGGCGTGGCGCCCCTTCCGAGGTCGGGGACCCCCGAGCAGGGTGTGCCTCCTCCCTCAGACCACACAGGCCTGGTGGAGGCCTTGCCTCCTCCCTCAGTCTCCCTTGCAGCCCACCTTCATAGGGACACTGGCCATAGGTGAAGACCTCGTAGAGGAGAACTCCAAAGGACCAGACGTCCGACTTCTGGGAGTAGATGCGGTAGTTGGCTGCCTCGGGCGCCGTCCACTTGACGGGGATCTTGGAGCCCCTGCTTGGGGAGTAGATGTCATCCTGGGTGAGGGGAGACCAGTGGTGGGTGGACGGAGTGGCACCCTCCCCTCCCAGCCACGGCGGGGTCAGGGGTCCCAGCCCCGAACTGACCTTGAGCAGCCGGGCCAGGCCAAAGTCAGCCACCTTGCATGCCAGGTCGTCGCCCACGAGCACGTTCCTGGCCGCGAGGTCGCGGTGCACAATGCGCCGGTCCTCCAGGTAGCTCATGCCCTCAGCCACCTGGCAGGCAAAGCTCAGCAGGAGAGGCAGGCCCACGGCCCGCCCCTCAGGGCCTGTGGGGCAAGGCGGACACTCAGGGGGGCGGGGGTCTGCACCATCACTTCCCTCCGTGCCTCAGTGTCCTCGCCCCAAAGACGGGGTGGCCCAGGCTGCAGGGGGCACCGTGCTGTGCAGTGACCACTCAGGGAGGCTGCTCCTGGGCAACCGGCCTGGGCCCCCAGGAGAGACCAGACCCAGGGGAGGTGCCCGGGGCTGGCGACACGGATGCACCCGACCCCACTGCACTCAGCTCAGCCTGGAACCGCGAGGCTCTGACTGCCCCCTCCACAAGGCACAGGACTGGCCCAGGCCCGGGCCCGAACCCACCGCTGGCCAGAGCCCGCAGCAACCCTCTGGGCCTCAGACGGTCAAGCCTGGTGCAACATCAAAGGCCCACGCCGAGAAGGGGGCCCCGAGGTCACGGCTGTGCATGGAAGCCTGGGTCACCCAGACGGCTACCGGCCGGGGGGGGCACCCACTCACTCCCCAGGAAGGCCTGCAGGCTGCCCTTGCGCATGAGCTCGGTGACGATGTACACGGGCTGGCCCATGGAGCACACAGCGTGCAGCCGGATGAGACGCTCATGCTTCAGGCTCTTGAGTGTTTGGATCTCCTTGCTGAGGTCTGCGAGCTTCATGTAGGCTGCAGGAGAGGGCATGGATCCAGGACCTGCCCACACCACCCTGGCGCTGCCCCAGGGCTCCAGAGGTCAGAGGGCAGGGCGGGCAGGGGCCAGCAGGCCTCACCCACCTGACTTAATGACCTTGACCGCCACTGGTGTGGAGCCAAGCCACAGGGCTTCCCACACCTCCCCGAAGTAGCCTTCACCCAGTTTCCTCCGCAGGGCAAACTCGGAGTGAGGCCGCTCCCACTCGTCCTGCTGGGGGAGCTTCTGAGGGGGCGGGGGGCACTCCATACCTCTGCTTGCTGCTCCCTGGAAGGGGGGGGCAGTGTCTCTGGGAGCGCCAGGCCTGCAGCCCCTCAGCCAGGCCGAGGCCAGGGGAGCCAGGTGCGGACCTCCAGAAGCCTGGCCCCACTCGCTTCTGGACCTAAGTGGCACCTTTGCTGGAGGTGGACACCCACCCACGAATACTCATTACAGCCCCAGCCAGGCTGTCATTAGCAACCGGAGGAACTGGATTGCTGCCCCCGGCAGGACCGCTCGTGCCCACGGCCCAGGCGAGCGTCCCCTCCTCCAGCTTCTGCCTGCGGCAGGTGTGGCCCCTCCTCAGACGCCTCCCCAAGCTTGCGCCCAGCCCTCACGGCCCCTCTGCAGAGCTGGGTCTGGGACTGGGGGGACCCTACAGGTCTCACTGCAACCCCAGCCCCAGAAGTCCCCAGAGACGGAGATGTCCCGCCTGTGAGAGCAAACCCAACCCCAGGCAGGGCCCTGGACGGAGTGTGGAGGTGTGGCCGGGGCCCCCAGGGCCCCCAGGCCTTTCCGGACCCCCCAGCCATGCTGGGAGCCTGGCCTGGGCTGCTGCCTTGCTCACAGCCCCGGACACGTGCTGGGCAGCTGGGCGGGAGGCGCGGCCGGGGACTGGCCCACCTGGGGCACACAGGGCTGCAGCAGTGGGTTCCGGATCAGCTTCCAGTTGGCCTTGTAGTAGGCGAGGAGCTCCTCCAGGCTGGGGAAGAGGCGGCCCTTCTGCAGGTAGAGACCGTCGGCGGCCGTGGAGATGCGGTAGTGGCGGACCTTGGCCTGCGCGCGCACTGGGGGTGCACGCAGGTGAGGGCCGCGTCTTGCCGCAGCCTGCCCCAGACCCTCCCAGCACCCGGGCCAGGGAAGCAGGTCAGCACCCAACCTTCCTTGGGTCTCATGGGAAAGGAGGGAGTGTGGGCAGCTACAAGCCGGAGGGGCAGTGACAGGGCCCAGGGCGGACACTCGGTGGCCCCCCGGCGCGTGGATGAGTCCGAGAGTGAGCGGACCAAGGAAGGGAGGGTGAGTGAGGAGCGAGCCGTGGTGGGGGTGGGCAGGCGAGGGAACGAGGGGTGGGGGGCAGGTAGTGAGCCTGCAGGTGGACGGACCAGCAGGCGAGCGGACGCGTGAGGTGACCAGGCCTGACGTGGGGCCAGCAAAGCCTGGGGAGCCCCCACCCCAAGGCCAGTGCGGGGACAGGGGCGCGAGCGGTCGTCCGGTACCAGATAGCGAGTAGTCCCCGTGGCTGCTCTCACTGGGCCAAATGAGGAAGGCACCCGGTGCATTGGCCGGGGACAGGAGCAGCTGCTGGGCCCCGGCGCGGCTGATGCCGCTGAAGTACCAGCTGCCAAGGGCGGGCGCGGCGGTCACCACCAGGCCTGGGCCTGAGGGACCCCTGCTCCCACGCTGCTCAGAGGCCCTGACGCCCTTGCTGTTCAGGCCGCAGGCCCGAGCCCGACTCCCGCCGTCTCTCAGGGACAGGGGCCCCCAGAGCCCAGGGCGGGGGTCCTGCTCCCAGGTCTGCACCCGCCCCAAGCCCTCAGTGCCCCCAGCCGTGACCTGAGACAGGTGAGACTGTCCACACACCTCAGCCAGCGATTCCCCATTAGCCCTGCTCACAGAACCACCCAGCCCCAGCCGGGGGCTAACCTGCCAAACTCAAGACTGCTGAGCCCCTACGGGGGGGTGGTGTCTACAAGGAGCCAGGGGGCCCTGATGAGCAGCCCCCAGGCTGCAGCTGTGCAGGGAGGACCACTAGCTCCACCTGGCCAGGCACGGCCCACTTGCCCCAAGAGGTGGACAGGTGGGGCCGACAGAAGCTTGGCCAGGAAGGCCCTGGAGGAGGCAGCTGAGCCAGGCTGGGCAGGGGGTCCGGGAAGGCTGGAGGAGGCTCAAAGCATCACATGTCTGCCTCTGGGGGCCCTGCCCAGTGCAGGCCAGCCTGAGCCCCTGGCCCTCTACACGTACAGAGATGCTCCCTCTCCGAGCACTCGGATAGCAGGGGCTCCTAGGGGCCCACTCCTCAGTCTGAGTAGAATGCCCAGATTCCAGGAGCCCACACACCTGAGCATGGAGCAGGGCAGGGGGAGGGCCTGCTGGGCGCCCCCCACACCTGACACCCCATCTGGGCCGCAGTCCACCTGAGTCACACCCCATGCACCTCCCTGGCTCCACATTCTTGGAAGGAAAGCAGAAAAGCTCCTGGTCCCACCCCATCGCCTGTGTCTGCTTCCCAAGGCCCAGGGAGGGGAACCCCACACCGGAGTCAGCTTCCTACACTGGAGCCTCCTGCTTCCTGGAGATTCTGGGGACCCAGGGGCAGGAGGCCTGCTGCTTAAGGGAGAGCCTCAGTCGCTCGAGGGACAGCCCTGTGAGCATGGCCCTTGTCCACTCTGATGGGGGAAACATGGGTCCTGGGGGCCAGGGGGTTGGCTCTGACCCCTACCTGGGGGTGCAGGACCAGCAGTTATCCTAGAGGACCCAAAGCATGACTCAAAGTGAGTCGACACAAGGAGGGAGTGCCCTGAAAAGGGGGCACTGGGTGGATGGGTGGTGCCTGGGCAGGTGGGTGCTGCTGGAGCCTGGGGTGAGGCCAGGGCCTGGCAGGAGGGGGACAGAGATGGGCCTGTGCCTGACAGGCACCAACCTGGCCAGAGCCAACCCTGGGGCTGGGCTGAGGGGCGGCCAAGAGGAAAGGGCTGGAGACAGGAAGCCTGGGGCGACGGCAGAGGCCCCAGCAGCACTAGGAGGTAAGACCAGCACGCAGGGCAGAGAAGGGTCAAGGACACGGGGACGTGGGTCCCCAAGACCAGACGTGGCTGGGCAGCAGGCTCGGGGAAAGCTGAGGAACTCGTTCTCGACACACTGATTCAGGAGCAGGAGATACAACCCCACGAGGCTGCCGGGCTCCGTCCGCCGAGGGCCTCCTGCAGCCAGGCGCCGCCTTCTGACGCCCACCAGCTGGGAGAGCCCCCTCCCAGGACTGTGGGCGAGCGGAGAAGCTCAAGTGTCCTCATCCCAGCCCTCCCCTGGAGCTGAGGGCCGGGGATGTTCTGGGGAGTCTTTCCCTGGGGTGGGGCAGTGGCTGAGATAAGATGAGAGGAGCCAGGGCTGAGGGTCCTCCCCCTGCCCAGCCAGTGTGGCCCTGGGGACAGACGGCCAGGTGTCTGGGACTAATGACACTGTGCGTGCAGCCAGCCCTTTCATCTTGGGCCCAGGCAAACAGTCATTACGACCTCCTCCTGGCACCACCCCCTCTGACCCACCCAGCCTCGAAGAGTGGCTCATGGGATCTGTCTTCCACTTGCAGAGTGACTGTGGGCCCCCTCCCCATCAGAATGGCTGCCTGGTCCCTCCCACCGCTCCCAGTGGGCTGGGCCTGGGGTGGGGGCCAGAGTCCCCCCAGAGGGGCCTTCTTGGGACTCGGACTTCCCCATGCCACGTGCAAATCCGCCAGGAGGCTATGGGAGTGCCGAGGGGTTCCCGGGAAATGGGATGGCCTAGTGAAGTGGAGACCCAGTGCTGGTCTGCAGAGGACACATAGGGGGCTCAGGCCCAACCCAGCTGGGCACAGGACAAGAAGCCATTGTCGGGGTGAGGTCTGGGCAGCTGAGCTGTTCACCAATCACATTATGGTCTTTTCTCACCCAGACGTCACCTCCATGCGCGCTGGGGCGGTCGGGGGGTGGGGGTGGTTGACATCGCTGTACCACATCTGTCTAGACATCAGGAATTGCAAAGGCCGTGACATCCAGGCTGATCCAATGCATCCAGGGGAAAGATGGGGGCGGGGGGGAGGGCACAACCAGAATTTGGATCCAATGCTTGAGGCCCCTGCACCATGTCCACCACCATAGACAGAGCCCAGGTGGAGCCAGCACACGGCTGTACTAGGAGGCTACCTGTCCCACAGACCCTAAGCCTGCGCTGAGAGGTCAGCTCTTCTCCAGGCCCTGTGGGAGAGCCTCCACTCTCTGCCTCCCTCCATGATCGCAGACTGGCAAGCCAACAGCCAGGTGTTCACACCAGCCTGTCCCTGCCTGTGGACTCTCCCGGCCCTAGGGATCTTGGGCATGCTGGGGGGAATGGGTGAGCTTCCCCCACCTGCATCCCCTCTCAAAACAAGCTTCTCTGGGAGCAATTCCAGGGCCATTTGTGCCCCATACTTGGCCAATGCAGCAGGGAGAGTTCTGGGTGAATGTGGACCAGTGAGGGAGCAGGTGAATGCACCTCTCAGACTCAGCATATCACCCCCTCTACCCTCTGGTCACCCCCTCATCCCTCACAGCATCTGGATGGCCTCTCTGCTCACTTATGTCCTCATCGGGAGCCCTAGGAAGATAGGGGCCATGTCTGTCTCAGTTGGAACTGCACCCAGGACCCTAGCCCCCGCCCTCCAAGCACTGACCACTCAGCTAACGTGGAATGAGAGACCCCCAGAGTGCGCTCAGTGCCAGGGCTGAATCCTTGTGTGAGAGGGATTCAGGAGGGCCTGGCTGGCTGGACCATGTCCCAAAGTGGCTGCCATGCTGGGTGCCTGGCCAGGGGCATGCATACACGCTGTCCAGCTTCCTTGCCACTCGCCCTGACCGCTCCTGCTGGAGTCATTGCTCTTAGCCACACGGGGACACAGTCACTGGCGTCTGTCCCCCACCCCTGTGTGCTTGCTCACCGCTGCATGGCCAGGCCTGGAGGGGTCCTGGCCACAGAAGGGAGGGAGGGATGGAGGGAAGGAAGGAAAGCAGGACGGCTCCTGGACATGCCATCCTGGGACTCAATCCTGCCCTTTTTCCTGACTGCCTGGGGCAGGGTGATACTCACGGGTGGTCTGAGAGCGTCCTCGGGGTGGCCTTGGCCAGGTGGGTGATGGGTACCAGCCCAGTACTGGGCGGGCCAGAGAGCCTGCGGGCAAAGATGTAGTCGCCCTCCTCCTTGAGGGCGTAGAGCCTGTCCCCGCGGCTGACACTCAGCTCGGCTGAGCACCGCGCCCTGAAGTCGTAGAGCGCCTGGAAGAGCTTCGTGGGCTCCAGGGGGCTGCAGGGCTCTGTGGCGGGGGGCTCTGGCTCAGCACTGGCCGCAGGGTTGGGGAACCCCGGGACGCCATCGTCTGGCGCGGCCACAGGCCAGATCTTGTCCCAGAAGAAGGACAGGAAGTTCAGCCGCTTCCTGAGGAAGGGCTCCATGCTCCTGGTCGTCAGGGCGCCGGACCCAGGGTCCCGCAGGGGAGGGGCCGCAGCGGCCGGACTGAGGACTCCGACCAGCAGAAACTGGAAGGGCCGGTGGGACGGCGAGGGTCCGAGCCTTACTGCTGGCGTCCCTGGTGGCGCAGAGTGTGGGGCTCAGGTCACTCCAGAGAACCCTCCAACAAGGCGCGCACAACTCCCCCCGCCCCCGCCCGCCTCCCGGGCTGGGGTTCAGACCAGGGTGGGCTGCAAGGTGGCCCTCCAGCCCCCCACCACACGACGGCGGCTCCTGTGTTGGCCCTCTAGAGTGTCGCCCCAACGGCTCAGAGCCGCTCTTTGGGGCTGGGCCAGGTGCGGCCCCAGGACGCGCCTCCGGGGGCGGGGCCTCGGGCTGTGGGGGCGGGGCCTCGGGGCGGGGCTGTGGGGGCGCAAGTGAGACGCGGTGGGGAAAGCGGTCAGCGCAGGTGAACCGCGCGCCTGCCCTTGACCTGAGCTTTGCCCTCAGAGAAATGGGGTTCCATGAGTGGGACAGAAGAGAGCTGGATTTGTGTAAGAAACCGCCTGTTCTCGGGGCGCCTGGGGGGCTCAGTCGGTGAAGCGTCCGCCTTCCGCTCAGGCCATGATCCCGGGGTCTTTGGATGGAGCCCCGCGTCAGGCTCCCTGCGAGCCTGCTTCTCCCTCTCCCTCTGCCTGCTGCTCGCTCCCCTTGCTTCTGCTCTCTCTCTGTCAAATAAATAAAATCTTAAAAAAGAAAACTGCCTGTTCTTTAAATGTTGGCCAAATCTCTCAACATAAAAATCCTATGCAGGACAGGGCCTTACATGCCCACCACGAGGCTCGGCACCAAAGGCTCGGAGCTGGGCTGGGGGCAGCCTGGGACTCTGGACAAGTGAGCTAAGCTCCCTGCACCCTGGGTGTTACGCGGTAACGTGGGACACTGGTGGTGACTGTGGGGTGCTCGGTGAGCCCGGGAAGGGCTCTGTAGGTGCCGCACCAGCGATGGGCCACTCCAGGCCAGGAGACCCCCCACAGCCACCATGGGGGTGGGGGAGGCTCTGACACCTGACCCCCACCTCAGGGATGGGAATGGGGGTGCCGTGGCACAGAAGGGTGGCGGGTGAGCCTGGGAGGGCCTGCGCCACCCCTCTTCCTCAGCTCCCTGGATGGGGCCAGGCCCCCTGCGCACTGAGGCTCTGCCCACTGCCAGGTCAGCCTCTGTTTCTGGGCAGGATGGAGAGAGCAGCCTCTGGGGCCCTGAGGCAGGGTCTGTGGTGGGTGGGGTCCCAGCCCCAGGCAGCCTGCATGCTCCTCCGCTTGAGGGCCTCCCCCCAGCTCAGCCCCTTTAGCGCCTGGTGGTCATGGTTGAGCCCATACCCCTTCTGTGAGACCCTCCTTCCAAACTCCACACTGGATCAACGCCTGGATGTGCATTCTGGGTTTGCACGCGGCCAACCAACAGGTGTGACGATTGTTTGGCCAAGCAGAAGCCAGACACCCCCCACCTGCCCCCAGAGCTGCAGCAGACCACTTCTCTCTGAAACACACCCCGGGGGCTTCCTGGGGCACAGCTCGTCCAATGTGCAACTATACTGCGGCCATGGTGCCATGAGCGGGCCCTCCCTGAGTCCGAGCAGCTCTCCGGGGCTCACAAAGCCTGGAGGGGCAGGGGGCCCCGAGGGGCAGCCTCTGTGGAGCTGAGACTCATCCTGTGGGAAGGCGGTAATTGAGAAGAATGTAGGCTACTTACAAATACAAACTTAGGGAAGGGCCTGGAAGGGCCCTGAAGTTTCTGCTCCACCAGCCTCGAGGGGAATCTGCGCACCCCACCCCATCACGCACTCCTCCCGTGCTCGTCACGTCTGGGTTTTGCACACCAATTTCCTTAAATCCTTTATACTTACGCTGCTTCTCTCCTGGGAAACCATGCTTTGAGGCTCTGGTCCTCTCGGCCGCAGGGAGGCCCTCTCAGGTCGTGGGAGGGTCCCGCTTGTGCTGACCGTGCTTGGGGTCAAGTGCTCTGAACACTGGACACTCCCAGTCCCTCCGAGCTACAGCGTTCCAGCCGCTAGGACTCAGCACATTCCACCTGGTGGTCAGGGCAGGCAGGGAGGGACCCTCCTCAGTCCTCTGGCCTCCATGCCTGGTGCCCAGGCCTCCTGTCGGCCCAAGCAAAGGCCAGAGAGTGAATCGGGGGACAGAGCGCAGTGGGCTCCATCCAACCCCCATGGCATCCTACAGATGTGGAAACAAGGTTCTGTTCACCCCTCCTCGAGGTCAGAACGGGGACATTTTCCAGCAGGAACATGTGCTGGGCGGTGGGGGCCATCTCCAGGTGACTGGGACAGAGGGCCTGAAGAAGGCCCCATCCCCCAGAGGGAGAGAGGCTCCTCCTTGACTGCTCTGGTCAGTGGGCTCTGCGGGGAGCACCCCACGCACGGCCACCTCTCTGCTGGGGTCCTCCTCCATCCCCTCACCCCCAAGCCCCCAGACTACCTCTCTTCACCCACCTCTCCCCTCCAAGCAGCCTGTTGCCCCTGCGCACACACCCCCGGGGCCAGGTGGCCGGCAGCAAGAGCCACTTTTGTCCGTCTTGTCGTTGGCAGTTCTCAGACTTGCCTCGCTCCTGCTGGCCTAGCTGCCTGCCCCCAAGCTCCAGGTTCAGGGACACACCGTTCCCTTCCTCCCCTCACCCTCCTGGCCCAGGACGGCCCTGCCCTGACTCCGCCACTCTCCTGTTAGCCTCACCTCCTCCATTGGCCCCAACCACAGAAAACGGTGCTGGTGGGGGTGGGGAGGTGCGTGCATGAGGGGGAGGACCCCCAACTTGGGATGGGGTTAGAAGACATGGTTCTAAACCTGCTGTCGGACTCACCAGCCGTATGACCTCGGGTAAGGTGCTAGACCTCTCTGCCTCCATTTCCCTGTCTCTAAGAGCATTGAGCCTGCAGGGGCCCAGTGAGGGTCCAGACGAGCTCTACTGGGAGGAGGAGGGGGCTTCCTGGGCATTCAGCTGAGGCTGGCAGCCCAGAGCATCACACCATGGGTTCATTTTCTGGAGGACATGCTATGGGGGTCTGTGGTGGAGGCACACCCTCCCCCCTGTGATCCCGCCACCACCAGGCTCCCCACCCTCACGACTCCTAAGGCTCAGGGGCAGCGCAGCCTGGTACTGTCCATCATGCCAGGGGCTGCCGCTCAGCAACGGAAGGAAATACACCCAGCAAAGGGTCCCCAAAGGCTGCGTGCCATGCGGCTCCTTTCTACAGCGGTTTCAGGGGTGGAGAGGACAGTAGTGGTTGCTGGGGGAAAGGAGGGGTTGGGGTGGCTGCATGGGGCAACATGGGGGTCCCTGGGGGGTAGGCCAGTCCCACGTCTCGCGGTGTCACTCTCACTATCCTGGGTGACCTTGCATGACAAGATGTTCTGAAAGATGATGATTCCACTGGGGGAACAGGGCAAGAATCATGGGATCTTTGTGGTATTTTTTACAACTGCGTGTGAATCTACAATTCTCTCAAAATTAAGAATTTAATTTTTAAAAGTTAAATAGAAAAAAGGGGATGGGGCCAAGGAGATGGCAGAGGTCCAAGACATGCCTGGCCCAGAAGACCGGGGTGGGGAGGGGTCTCTCTGTCCCTCTCTGTGGGTGGGCTGCAGGGTGGGGGGTGTCTTCCTCCTCTCCCCCTTTCCAGTGTCAACTTCCCCCCCACCCTCAACACCCCCCCTTTCCAAATAACAGCTAGCATTTGCTGGGAGCCCGAAACAGGAAGAGGAGGGCAGAAATGGCATCCACCCACGCCCCCTCCCCAGGTCTGACCTCCTGGGCCCTCCATGCCCACCCAGGCCTGGGCCTGAGGATGAGCTGATGGGCCCCTAGCCAGGGAAGCCTCTTCCCAAGAATGGGGTCACCCAGAGGGGAGGGGTGCACTTGTGGGGCAGGGGAGGCTCTGGACATAGAACAGACTGGCAGGGGGCTGAGGGACAGATGCCCTATCCTGGAAGAGGCCCACCACTGTCCTTCCCCCCGGGGCAGGGACACCCACAGGAAGGGCATCCTGCCTCCCTTCCCCTCCCCCATCCTCCCCAAGGATGACTACTGCCCGGGGGAGGCCCCAGGCTTGCTGAGACATCCCAGAGGTCCTGAGCCCAGCTGGGGGCTACAATGGGGTTCAAGGGAGGGGCTGACGGGCTCCCTGGAACCGTGGAGACCAATCGGTCCGGACGCAGATCAGGAGTAGCAGCCCAGGCAGGCGTAGTGATGGCAGAAGCAGCTGCTCCAATCCTGCTCTGTTCCCTGGGGTGGTGACGACTGTCACCCACCTGCCAGTCCACTCATGAGGTCACTGCTGCTCCCCGCAGGTCTTCCCACGGGTTCCTGGGAGCGGGGCACAGGCTGGGACGGCGAGCAGAGCCCTCTTTCCTGCACCCACCCCTCCAAGCCTCGACAGGACCCCGGGACAGGGCCCCGGCCTAGGCGCCGGAGGCCTCAGTTTACTCCTCTCTGCGCAGTCCTACTTTGGGCGTGGCTTTCGGAAGAGCCACTCGTGGGGGTTCCCAAGTCGGGGAGGAACCAGGTTCCCCAGGGAGGGAGCGAAGCCTCGGGACCGCTCTGTCCTCCTGAGACCGGGGTGGGGGGCGGGGCCGGGGGCCGGTCGAGTGGCTCGAGTCCGAGTCGGAGTCCGGGTCTTGGGGGTCCCAGCCCCGCCCCGCCCCGCGCGGTCTTCCCGAAGCTCTTCAAGTGGAGGGGCCCGACCCGGCGGGGTCTCCCCGCACCCCGGAGCCCTGGGCTACCGCCCCACCCTGCCCCCACCCCCAGGTCGGGCGGGGCGTCACAGAGGCCCGCGGTCCCCATGGCAACACGCCGGACGCGGCGGCGCGCGCTGGGCGCAGTCAGCCGGTTGGCTCTCTCCGCTCCGGGAGGCAGGGCAAGTGGGCGCTCCTGGAGGCTGGGCGCGGGCCGGGGAGGCGGGCTGGTGGCTGCGGAGGGGAGGGGGTGGACCTGGGGGCTTCTGGAAGGCCCAGGAGGGTGTAGGTCTGGGATCCCAGCCAGAGCACAGAGCGGCCCCTTCCCCAAATTCACGACCAGCCCCTCTGCGATTTTCCAACCGAGAGACTGCTTGCGACTGGGAAACATCCCTGAACCCACAGTCAGACCCAGGGGCCAGAGCAGGACTTAGGCTGGGATTCCTGGAGTCATGCTTCACCTCATCCCAGATACCCTCTCTGTTGTACCCAGGGCCTGCTCTGGCTTGTCTGCCCTGGGAAGGTGAAGGGCTGGCCTTTGGGGAGGCAGGCAGACTTGGGTCCCAACCTTACTGCCACT